ACAGACAGATGGGTTTATAAAGCAATGATGGGACTGTGTTACTGTGTGATCGAAAGGAGCCTCCACATGGGTATTACCTGCCTGGCACTGCTGGAACCTGAGCTGCAGGACAATTAGGCTTCATGCAGGAATGTCTGCCTTTGCATCCCGGGTGTCGATTCAGCAGTACAGGAATGTGCATCCATTTATTTACATTAGCCCATGGAAGACCAACATTTGCAATTCTCAAATCCAGCGTGAAGCACTCTCTCCAGGCTCACAGTCAAATGAACAGCCAATCCTTTTTCATATTCATTCATATTATAAATTATTTATGCTGTCACGGACTGAGTGTTCTCCTTTGAAATTCTAGGTTTTCATCAACTTTGCTAAAGATCAAGAGGATCCTGACGGCACAGACATGGGTCCTGATGTGACAGTGGACAGCTCTGACACAAGTAGCCAAGCGAGTACCATAAGCTCCATCTATTGAGGGGACCCAACCACACAGGATCATAGAACCTGGGAAAAGACCTGGCAGCCCCTCAGGGTTCTTCCAACTCTGTTTTCTGTGATTCTGGGATGGTGGGGATGAAACAGTCCCATTTTCTTAAAGTACTTTCTTTTTTTTATGCACTTAATTTGTAACTAGGAACATGGTAGGCATTTGAGTCTGGCACTTGGTTACAAATCAGATTGGCCTTTCCACAGGTTCTTTTCCCCCCAGTTCTTGTTTTGTGATCACTGTAATGCCTGTGAGGACTTAGATGACATCCCCCGCTGCTCGTGGCTGTTTGCTTACAGCAGAAATGGCTGTGATGCAGCAGAGGAGCTGTTGGCAGTGCAGGGTGTTTGACCAAAGAGCAGCCCCAGGCTGCAGAGGAAAGCCCACACTCCACTCCTTGCTCAGCAACAGACTTCCAGGGTGACCATGCCAAAGTCCCTCAGGTTTGACAGGTTCCCTGCTGGTGAGAAGGGGCTCGTGGCCTTGCCCTGTCTGCCAGGGGAGCTGTGAGGACACAGGTGTTGTGTACTGAGAGCTGCCAATGCCATTGGTGGGGGCCATCTTTGGTAATGACATAGGGCTTATCTGTACGTGTGGGTTACGTCAGCACAAATACAGTTATTTTAAAAGTTAGTGCTTCCAGTGGTTTTGGTTTGTTCCCGTAGTTTATTCCAGCTCTGTGTAACTCCTCAAGTAACTCCTCTGGTGCCAGGCAGTTCCTAGCTCTTGGTACCCAGTGGAAGATCATTCCCCCACTAGCCCTTTTCTCCTTTGGGCTGGTGTTTAGGGGTGCTCTGCCACAGCTGAGGAATGGCACAGGGCAGGTGTGTTGGAATCCTCTGACATGAAGGAGTTTGCTTTCCAAGACTGTGTTTCCCCGAGCACACTAAAGGCAACGAGCACTTCCCATGCTCAGAAAACCTCCATCTCCCAGCAGCTCTGCCTCTCTGTGTCCTCTCCAGTGACCTTCCTCCTCAAGCCCACATGGTGGCTGCCCCTATGACTCCAGAGCTGTGTTTTCCCACATAATAAGGCATCATTAGCTTCTGCTTCAGAGGCTCTGCCTGCTGGCTTTGAATGAGTCCTCTGCCTCCCTATGAGCAGCAGCCCCCAGCAGCTGAGTTCAGCACACCAGCACGCACATCCTGCTTCCTCCCCTCCAGAATCATTAATAGATAGAGTAGTTGAATATGATTCTTTATTATATGTATCAGCATAAGGCCTCAAAGACTCGGGTTTGGGTCAGGGCATTGGTGTACGTGGTGCTATTCAGGCACATAATGAACTTAAACTCTGAGCTCAATAAACTTGCTGTTGCTCATGAAAGAGATTGCAGATAAAGCCTTACCTTGTGAGACCTGGGGTGGCCCATACAACTTACCTGGGTTCACCCACACAATTCCAGCCAGGTGGTTTCTTTTTCCTTTTTTTTTTCCCCTGAAACTAATTTGAGGCAAAGGAACCTTTGATGAAAGCTGCAATGGCACATCTTTCTCACTCTGATCATCAGAGCAGTTTGACTAGTTCAGCTCCTATTGATGCCTTTTGCAGGAATAGGTACTTTCAGTATCAAGGGGTTCAAGATTTTACAGTGGGATACTGATGTTCAGGGTTTAGTTGCTGCAAGGAGGTCATGAATTCTCCTTGGTCTTGGTATAAACTTCTTACTGATAGCAGGAGGAGTTTTATTATGGATTGAAGGTATTGTCAAGCCTTGAATTATGCCTCAACCTGCTGACTGTAATTAAAACTGGGATTCAGCTTCTTTCCAGAATGCATTTGACACCTGCAGTTTATAAGTAACTGAAAAAGCTGCCCAGACATCCATTGTAGCTTCTATTATTATGTCTCCAGCTCTGCAAAGGCTCTTTTTTCTCATTTTCATTGCATATCTTACACAGATCACAGTATAAAATTAAGCTTTTCTCTAATGGAGGGCTTGTGCTCCCTGCAAAGGACTCAGAGCATGAATGCCAATGATTTAAATGCAGCCTTGTAATACCAATCAGAGTATTATTTTATTATGTCGATGGCTTTGCAACTGCCAGTGAAAGATGGATCTTCAGACTCTGTCCAGATGTACTTTACATGTAATTGAGGGAGACTGATACAAAGCTATTCTTTTGTCCCTTTAGAGCCTACTAATCAAACAAAAAAAAAAAAAGGGAAGTGATTCATTGGAATACTTCAGCAAGTTGCAATTTAATTGAGTAAAATAGTTTTGAGGAGGGAAAAAAAAGCAAAAAGCATCCTTTGAATTTCCACCCAATTCTGGCATTAATAGAAACATCTGCTCCATGTGAAATGTGTCAGGGCCGTGATATACACTCCCCGTTCTCACTTGCAGGTAGAAATAAACCATCTGCTGTTGCAATCAAGTCTGTAGGTATTGGTCCAAACAAGCCCGAGTTTACATCCTGGAGGGAATTTAACTGAGGCCCATGGAGAAGCACTTACAACTGTTTGGGGGGTTGAAGCATCTGGCAAGGTGGTTGTATATCACGTCACCAGGGGCTGAATTACCTTTTGTGCCACATTACAAACATCCCTGTTCCCTGCAGAGCCTCAGATTCATCCTGTCCCTTTCAGGTGTGGGACACGCTCCAGCCTCAATTCCGAGGCAAAACACATGCAAGCTGATACTATCCTGCCTCTGCACACCAGCTGCAGCTTCTCATCACCTCTTGTCTCCCTGAGCAGGGCCCGTGGTGGTTCCAGGGGTGGTCAGGAATGCGGAGCCTGGACTAAAAGGCAGCTGCTGAGGATGTGTCTGAGGGGTTGTCAGCAGGCTGTGCACGCCCGGGAAGGACGGGGTCACTCCCCCGTCTTTAGCACTCACCGTCATCTTCCCCTGTGGGTGTCATGGCAGGGGCCTTATCAGTCCTCTCTGGATCCCCTCAGAAATTTTTGCTTTACATAACTCTGCTTTCCAAAAAACCCAAGCAGCCAACGAGCTCCCTCCTCCCTCTGGCCTGGACAGGGAGGTAAGACTGCTGAACACACTGACCCGGCAGCGCTCTGTGTACCACGGCACGGCTCCTCTCCAGGAGCTGCAGTCCGGGGGGAAAACAAGCTTTTCATCTCACTCCTTTGATGCAATTTCACCTCAGCCACTCTCATAACCCTTGTTAGAGGCAGCAGTGCTGGGGCAAGCCCTGCCAGAGCGGTCACGCAGCCCCCGTGTGTTAAATGGAACGGCACGGGCCTCAACCGAGCTTCATTTAGAACTGCTCTGACACGTTACAGACGTGAGGTGTAGGCAGGGCAGGTGCTGAACAGGGTCAGGAAGTCAAGGAGGAATTTCAGGACTGGTTGTGTGCATTGTGAGGCTGATTGAAGTCAGTTTTGTAATTGGAACTGTGGACTTGGAGACAACGACTCAAATCTCCATCCTGGCTCTCCCTCATTTACGGCTTTGTGCTGTTGATGAGAGCCGGTGCTTCTACAGCTTGATCCTTGCTTAGCTTTGGTCTCGATGCCAGTGACCACCGAGGGCTGACTTCAAAGGGTCAGAGAGGGCCTGGCAGGGCCAAGGAAAGCTGTCCAGAAGGGCCAATGTTAAGCAAAATACTGTAAATATAAATTCAGGGTCTAATGGGATTTTTTTTGTCCTTTCATGAGAGCTGCAGGAGTGGTTTTGTTACTGGGTCCTTTCAGAAAACATGTTTACAGGTCAAATTAACACATCCAGGTAAACAAAACTCAGTGGCTAGTAAAGCACAGGAGCTGGTGGTGCCCACAGACCTGCTGCCTCTGTGGAGTCACTGCTCGGATCCAGAACTTGCAGAATCCAAGCTCATAATAGGCTCAGGATGTGCCCCAGCCTGTTGTAGAAGCTTTGACTTCCTTCCACTGCTGCAGCTTCACTGAATCTGCTATGAGACTTTCTAGCTTTTTACAAGCCAAGAAAAATGTATGCCTCTGCACTTAATAGGGGAAGGGTTATTTTGTGAGCTGCTGGAGGAGGAAAAATGGGTTTTGGATGGCAACAGCACATAACATGATTTTACTCTCTTTTTTTTTCAGACAACAGCTGTGATCTTGCATAGCTATAACAAAGTATCAGCAGCATATTAAGAGAGCACAACAGAGAAAAGCAGCAGTGGGGAATGACAAAACAAAAATTGAATTCACTAAGATTATTATTCCATGACAGTATTTAAATAAAAAAACCCCACTCTAATTAATTTAGTTGTTCAGGGAGAGGGTGGAAAGAAGGAAGATGGCACTAAAATAGTAAGAACAACATTAGTAAGGGGCACAGCCAGCGTGTGCTGTTGGCTCTGTTCGTCCCACCGCTTGCATCCATGGTGCTGGTATGAGGCAGGACGATCAGCCTCATGGTGCTGGGGAGCAGCAGAGGGAGTGCAGCCCATTTTGGGCCAGACCAGGCTCCTCAAAACATCTGTGGCAGGGGGGAAGCTGCACAAAACCACCCCAAGGGGTATCAGTATTTTGGGACCGGAGCTTGACCCACACCATGTTACAATCCTGCAGCACCCGCACGCTGGCATGTGCCAAAATGGGAGTTACAGCGGCCACACGGAGCTCAGGATGGAGGAAACTGATACTTGTGCTTGCAACCCATGGAGCAACGCTTGAAACCAGGCACTGCTCCCCAGTGCTTGGTTCCTGGGCATGCAGCCCCCAGTTCAGTGCTGATTGCTGCTGGAAGACACCGCTGGAAACAGGCCATTGCCAGGGAGAGCAGTGGTGAGGGCCCCGTGCTGGGAGGCGAGAGCAGGAAATGGCAGTGCTCCCACAAGCTGGGAGGCTCAAAGCAACAATCCCACCCTCTACCCCAACCTCCAGATTAAGCAGCAAGTCTTTCACTAGATCAGCATGTTGGGTGGAAATGAAGTGTCTCTTAGAAAGAGCTCAGGTCTTCACTGACTCCAAAGAAAGAAACAGGAAGGGCATGACAGAATTTATGGTAACACACATGAGATAAAATCCAAGTGAAGACAGGGTTATCATCGAGGATCTTGCTTCCCTTAGCAGGTCAGGGTGAGCTCCCAGCCCTCTCCTCTCTGTGTGCCAGCTGCCAGCTGAAGGGGTTTTACCCAGCCCTCTGCCTCAGTGTGCGCTGCTGTTTCACAGCCAGAGACAAATGGAGGCACATCCCGTGTGTGACAGGGGGGACGAAACGGGATGATCTGCCTCTCCATAACCAGACCCAGCTGGATTATTCCTGTGCAAGACAGCAATGAATTTAAGTTAAAATTATACCAACCAGATTGAAATGCAATTAAAGGAGTTCCCTTAGGGTTGCACATCCAATTAGTAGAGCACCTTTAATTACACCAGTGCAGACACGTGCCGAGAGGACCACCAGCACAGAGATGAGGCCTGCCTGGTGACCCACATCCATGAGGGCTCCAGAGGAGTTATGCCTGGGTTTCCACCAACACAGGTGACCTGCTCCCCCACTGGGGAAAAGCCCCTGGGCTGGCCCAGCCTGGACTAGGAGCAAGGCAGAGGAGAAATACAGAAACCATTTTCAGCTTTGTAAGAGCAATTGTCTCTAGCAGACAGTTTCTGGAAAGCAATTAATATCCAGGTGCTTCTAAAAGGTAAGAGTTCTTCCCAGTTTTTTGTACATGAGGTTTCCCTCTTGCAGTGTCTGAACATACCCTGCTGTGAGGAACTGTGGAAGCCGAAGCATTAGAGTTGACTTTGATAAGAAAACTCATTAAAACACTAACAATGCAAATATTAAGAATTGCCAGAAACACCAGAGCACTTCTAGGTGTCCCTCAGCCATCTCCAGGGAGTTTTGTGAGGTAGAAGAACTAAAAATACCTTCCCACCTGTAGCCTTGAGCATAACACCACCTCCAAAGCAGCCAGTGGGTGTGACTCAGGAGTGTGGTCCTTGTTTGGAGCATTAGTCCAAGTCCCTGTCGAAGCCTACAGTCTGGCTGCTCTGAACTATTCCTGTTTAAAATCCTGTCAAAGAGAGAAAATAAAGCTGAAGGAGACTCTCCTTTGCCCATTGTAGCACCAAGCCTGAGGGCTGGTGTGTGTCAATAATCCCTGGGGCCCAATTTTAATGCAAAATCATGTCACCTTGCACCAGATAGTGCCCTCAGGTCAATACTGACAGGGGTACAGGAGCAGGTGCTCCACACATCTTCACATGCTCCTCCTCAAGTGTTCCTTTAAGCACCCTCAAAAGTTGAGACCGTAGGCTTAGTGGGATTAACAAAGATAATCATTCCCATCCATCACTGCAAAGCAGGCTGTGGAGCTGCTGAATCCGTTCTGCTCCAGGAACCTGGGAAATCGATGCCGTACCTGAGCAGCCAGGCAGGGGCAGCTCCAGGCTTGCTGTAAAGAGGAACAGAGCGATTGCTCAGGCTCACTTCCTTATTCATTTTTTTTATGAGCCCTCAGAGCCTCCCTAGGAATTATCAAAGCCTCTCCAAGGAGGGCAGAGCCGCAAAGGGAGCGTTTATTCACGGGCTGGTGCTTCACGCTGCGATAACCCTCTGTGTGAACATACTGGAGTGGCTGTACGGGTCTCCTCCCTCACGTGGGCAGTGAGGCCTCTCCTTTAACCTGCTTTCTGCACCTTCAGCATTTGACCACCCTCATTACAGACTCACAAGTGGCTTTTTCCCCCTATAATCAGCTCTTTGCCATGCATCGGTGGATGGCAGCAAAGGCAAAGCTTGTATGTTCGTTACAAACTACCCTGATGCTGTGTCTGAGGGAGCCTCCTGCTCCCCAGGGTTGCATTACAAACTGGGATGTGTGAAATCAAGCAGGACTAGGGAATACCATGACATTTAAGCAATGGGGACCTTCACTGGGAGGATTTGGGCTGAAAACCAGGCAGGGTCCAAGACTGTGCAACCTCCAAAGGTCCTTAATGTGCCAGAGCTGGGCCCCCAGATACCTGCAGGGACAGAGATGTTCGAGAAGGCTCAGCTGTGACCAGCTGGAGGAAGAATGGGATGGTTTGCTCCATGCCTGCTGCCCTGCTCTTCCTGACAATGGAAGCAGCAGAGCCAAGGCATGCAGTTTCACATCGAGTTCAATATTGCAACCATTCCAGAAATCCCACGTGCCAGAATGACATAATTCTGCCACCACACAGAAAAATGTAATTATTGGGTGTCAGCGGGGCTTCAGACCTGACTTGTGAGAGCAAAAAACCTTCACAGCTCCCTTGGAGAGTCTAGATGTTATAGGGGTTATTTTTCCCCTGTGAATATCCAACAGGGGTGATTTCAGGGCTTGAAACCAGCTCACACATGACACTAATACAGTGTCCCTCTGAACAATATAGCACCCCTTCTCCTGCCAAGGTAGATGGGAGAGGCTAAGTTTCCTTATTACTCATCAGCCTGATAAATCAAAGCTGCTGTGCTGTACTTCCCTCTCACCCCCTCTGGCGTTTCTGAGCTCTGGCTCAAGCAGAAATCACAAGGTGAGCTCGCTTGGGCTATGTAAGGGAGCACACCAGCCCAGGTGGTTATACAAGTTCTTGAAATCACCTTAGGAAATGGGAAGCTGTTTTTCCATCCATCCAGGCTGTGACATTCCTCTCAATGTGTGCTCAGCACGCATCTGATGAAAACAGGAGGGTCTGTGCCACTGGGCTTTGCCATCCCCATGGGCCTGTTTGCAGAGTGGGGCAGGAAAAAGGAGCCTGTTGGGCTTGGGCAGCTCAGGGCTGGGTGGTCCCTGCAGCAGGATGGGGCGGCGTGGGTGCAGGGCTGGGGCTGTGCACTGGCTCTGGGAGGGGAGATGTTGGTATCACAAAGCATCCCACTTCCCTTGGAGGGATTATCGGGAAATCAGAGCACAAACACAGGGGTTGGTGCTTACACCATGGTAGGTTGGAGTGACAGAGCCTGACAACTTGGAGGGGAGGCTGTGATGGCATCGGCAGCCACCAGTTCCAGCACCCTTCCCTGCGGAGGCTGGAGCAGCCAGCTCTGCCCCTGGCCAGAGGGAAACCACCCCGTAGCTGTCAGGTCAGAATGGTGTTTCTTTGGCAGTTTATAGCAATCCTATTTGTGGATTAAAACACAGCCGTCAAGGCAGCTCCTCCAGGATTTACGACACGGCCTCAAAATGCAGAAGAAAAGGAAAGCTGAACTCTGCTTTGATGTTTGCAAGTGTAACCTGCAGACCTGAGCTGAACACACTGTAAATAAGGATCATTAATCATCAGCTAAGCGGCACACGGTTGCTGTTATTTATTATAACAACATAAATCACCCGGAGCTGCTATCATGTTAATTTGGATTTAGTATGGATTAGTATGGAAAGAAGAGTATCCTTACCTATTTACAAAATACATACCTTTATTTTATACATACTTTAACAAGTGTTAATCCCACTTGTAAACACATATAGATGTGCCGTGGTTTTTGTTCCTTAAGTTTCCTCCAGTTAGTAAGCAAGTCAGGAAAACACTCTGGGAGCTCCGCACGTGAGAGACTTCCAAAGGTTCAGGTCAAGCTGCAGCTCAGAAAAATCTGTCTTGTGAGTTGGCACCGAGGGGAGAAGTAAGACCAGGAGCTCTGGGACATGTTTCAGAGGCTCTGCAACGCCCCCAGCCCTTCCTCCAGCCCCTCTGCAGGTCCCTTCCCAGAAACTGCCCTGCATCCATGTATCACTGCAGTAACCTCACAGTCTTCCTTCTTTTATGTGCAGCTCAGCTCTGGCTTTCAATTTTAAGAAGCATGAGTCATTGGTTTTGTGGGATACTGGAGCCCTCTGCTCCTGCCTTTGGAAGGAAGGCTTAGCAGGGAAGGAGCATTTTAATTTATATTAAGGGAGCATTAACCACGCTTTTCATATTCTCCAGGAATGCCAGCTGTACTCCTTGCTGATGTATTGAGTTTGTTGAAGCTAAAAGGTGGGGCTGACATCCTCATGCACCACAGCAAGACCAGTGGAGGCACCAGGATGACCATACCAGGTGTTTTGGGTGTGGAGCTCATGTCAGAGCTGGAAATGTGGCCCCATCCCTCTCCACAGATCATTTCTAAGTGTGGTGACAACAGAACTTCACCCCACAGGGATCCTCATCTCGGTGCTCAGGCACAGCAGCTGTCTCTGCCCTTGAGCACTCAGGTGTAGTTAGGGGGTCCATTCTACCCCCCAAAAGGACTTGAATTCTTTAAAATGAGGCAGGTTTGCTGTTAAGAAGTCACAGCAAATTTCTCCCCGCAGTCCTGGGAATTTGTTTTATCCTGATGAAGCTGGAGGTGCTGAGCCTTGACTCAGGATGCAGAGATCCCTGACCGACCCCATGGAGGTCACCAGTGCTGCTTTAGCTGGAGATTTGTCCTGATTAAGAAAGAGACCTTGATATCTGGGAAACAGAGATCAGAACAATCAGGGTTTTGCATTTTTAAAATGTAACTGCAAGGGAAATAAAAAGAATGTTATTTTTTGGGCCGGCCCAAAGATTTCCCACAGGCTTGAAGCTGCAGTGATACATTTAACAACAGGCTCATAAGTCCCAGGTAAAGAATAAAAGCAATGATGCACCTGCATCCTGACTCCACTGGGTCCAAAAGTGCAAGTAATTGCCTTTAATTGGCTCTGTTGGTTTTAACCTGTTTTGTGTGTGCCAGATGAACAGACATCAAACCAGGGAGAATTTCTCTAAGTGTTGAGCCAGAGCTGAGGTTTGCATAAATTAAAATTGGGTTAATTATAATAACTCTAGTACAGTAGGGATAGTATAATAAGACTAATTAGAGTGGGGCTAATATGAGGGTTCAAGCCACAGCAGCCACTGTACAAAACACTCACCCAGGTTCTTCAGAGGTTTCCCTGGACTTGTATCCCACTCTACTCAGGGGCAGTCCAACATCTAAAAGCCTCTGCAGAGCTCTGACTGCGTTTTCCTGAGCATCCACGCTCGCCTCGCACCGACCATATGTCTGTCTCTGTCTGCTAGCAGATTGCACCAAATATTTTCCTTTTCTACCGTGGCTGAGCAAACAAACACCATCTGCGGGGCTCGTCGAGGGAAATCCCGTCCCCTCTGTGCCTGCGGGGAGGCAGCAGTGCCTGTCCGCGGGGCTGACGCTTCTGCCCCCGGACCCTGGGACAGGAACCTCTCCCTGCTCCTCAGCTCTGCCCGTCCGCCGAGCTGAGCTGAGACCTGACAGCTGGCACACATTTTAATTCAGGTTTTATTACAGGAAGGCTGAGCCCTGTCAGAGCAGACTGCCTAGCGATGACCCAGGCTCGTGGGGCTGCCTTGGGGCAGTGGGAGGTGGAAGAGGGTGAGAAGGTTTTTTTTTGGTTGGCTCTGCCTTGGATGTATCCATGCTGCTGGGGGCTTTGGGCATTTTCCAGCCATGCTCAAATCCCTGGCCCAGGCCTGATTTTTGGTCTGCCTTGGCATGCTTAGGATGAGAGGTCTGGGAGGGCAGCTGAGGGGGGATGGAAATTATTCCTTGTTCAAGCCTTTATTCCTTTGGTAGGTAAATCTCCTGGGTGGCACTGCTTGATATGGAGGGTCTGTGCCATCCATCCATGCAGCCCAGCGCTGGTGCAGGGAAGCACCAGCAGCTGCTGAAGCAAAGGTGTGAATGTGGTCCCCAGCTGGGCACAGGTTTTTTCCTGCATTGCTGTTCTCTGTTATTTGCCTTTCTGCAGGAAACCCCTTTTCTGGTAAAATCAGAAGGGTAGTCTCAATTTTGTAAAATCCTCTGCAGTTTTGACCCATGTGGTCATTCTCAGAGGTCCCCAGCAGGTGCAGGTGTAAATTACCTGTCACCTCAGCTGCTTTTCCACTCGCGCTTCTGCAGCGCTGGGTCCAGAGCTTGTGCTTTGACCAAATCTTTTGTACAAGTGCCCTTTGGATTTAGCAATTCGCACGGTGAAAGCAGAACCAATGAACCACGGGCTTCTCTGCCGCTGCTTTTAATTAAAAATGCCATGTCTAACACCAGCAGATGTTCCTGCTACTGAGGCTCAACGAATAATTTAATGCTATGTAATGCAATGCTGACTGCGCTGCTTAGTCTGAAAGTGTAACAGACTTTTCTATTATTATTATTATTATTATTATTATTTCCTTTTGGGGATCAAATCCCTCAATATTTGAAATCCTAAAACTTGCTAGTCTAATGGCTCTAGCCAATTACTGCACCAAATGGTCTCAGCAGCGCCGTGTCTTTCAAGTCAGTGCTGCAGCCCGTGATGCCTCTGCGACCACGGTGAGCTCTCAGGGCCTCGGATGCACAGCAAAATTGGCCTCAGAGGGGCGGCACTAGTAGCAAACTAAGCCTGTTAAAGGCTTTGATTCAGACATTTGGGGAAAGAGGGAATTCAAAGCATGAGGCTGTTC